AGGAAGGGGCCTCAGAGCAGCCGTAGCCAACCCCTGTGTTTTCTAGTTCTTAGAATACGAGCATTTAGGCCAAGAACCAGGCCAGAAGGGTCTCCCGTGGCCGACCTCTCAGTATCTGCAGAAAACCGCCTTAACCCCAGCCCTCCAGGTACGTGTGCATCCGGGGTGTCTTCATCCTCACTACGGAATGCACCTCCCTCACCGTCACACTCTTCGTGACTCTACGCAAGTTTGTGAGCCTCATCTTCTCTATCTTGTACTTCCAGAACCCGTTCACTCTGTGGCACTGGCTGGGCACCTTGTTTGTCTTCATTGGGACCCTCATGTACACAGAGGTGTGGAACAGCTTGGGAGCCACAAAAAGCCAGCCTCGGAAGGAGGACAAGAAGAACTGAGGCCAGTGTCGTACGAGCCACGGTCCGGCAGGGTCACTTTCGTTGATGCTGAGTGAGCCCCCAGTACTGAACGAGCTGTGTGCCAGGGAATCCTTGGAAGGCGGGGCCTGCTCAGATCTCCCATGGCTACACAGACCAACCTGTGTGGACTCTGCACAGAGATCCCTTAACCCTGAATTAGAAAAAAAAAAAGAAAATAGTACTGTACTAAACAGCCATTCATTCGTTATGTTTTGTTTACATTTTTCAGTACTGTACTTGTTAATGAATCCTGAGTCCCCAGAGCTACTAGTTTTATAGCCATGGTCTTGGACAAGATTATCCCTTTTGCTGCTGTTCTGATTACTGATGATTCTCTGCCATAATCGTCATTATCGTCCTGTGGCTTCTTCCCTTGGTCCTGTCACCCTTCTACTCTAAAGCAGCCCTTTTCAGTCACATGCTCCAGGCAGCACCATCAGTGACCAAGTGAATGAAAACGCTGGTGACATTGGGGCTAGACTCTGTGCAGCGTGTTGGGAAAGAGGCAGTTGTCTCTGAGTCGAGCCCTGGTGACACTGCAGCAGGACTGGGGGGGACCCTTTCCCACATTTTGCTTTTGTTTTCTATGCAAAAAGTTAGATGCTTCCACATCTGTTGCTTTCTGTGCTTTTAGAACAAACCTGCAGCATAGCTCCGTGTGGCACAGTGTTAAAAAGAAAGGTCGTATGTGAATTGGGAAAGAGACGTTTCCCCTCGGTCTTCTACATGAAGCCCATGAGCTTAGAGCTTAGAGGGTGACGCCAGGACGGCCCTGCTCAGCACCCAGAGAGCCACAGGTCCCCGGACTCCAAGCACTCACAGGGCTGCTTCTGAGTGTGTGGGGTGAGTCTTTGAAAGGCTTCTTACCCAAGGAGTCCAGCTCTGCCTGGCACGTCCCATGGTCACAAACAGGCTCACAAGTAGACGCGTGTTTACAGTGGGTGTGCTGTCAAAAAAAAAAGTCAGGTCAAATCATGACTAAAATAGTGTTTTTCCTGTAAGGTATCTTAATGTTCTTGATGGAGGTTTATGGCGGGGCGGGTGTGTGTGTGTGTGTTGTGTTTTATTAATGTAGAAACGTGCCCTCCTTTTACTAATCATTTCAAAGATCTGGGTTTCCTCCCGTGGCATAATTTTGAGTCAGAGGAACGATGTCAGCATGGCGTGTGTAGGCGAGTGTGTGCCCCTGTGTAGTTTGAGTGTGATAATTTTGGAGGCGAGAAGAACGTGGAAGTCAGGGTTATATCTCCTCATTCTTCACGTAGCCCTGGACCCTCACTGACCTCACACCAGGTCCTGCTCCTCTGCAGGCAGGTAAACGTACCAGCCAGTCCACGCACACAGACGAAGACCTTTTGCTTTTTCCTGGGTGCAGGTTGTGTTTAGCCCGTGCTGTGGTACGTATATTCCACTGCCTGGAGTTACTCGATGGAGTCTGAGCTAAGTGCCCTAGGACAACTGAGTCACTTTGGGGAAGTCACTTAAGTTGCCTAGGTTTGGGCAGATCCCGGATGGCAGCATAACAGGACCCAGAGCTCATCCCATGAACACACCCAATGCACACCTCTATCTAGAGCGATTTCTTCTGAGACAACAGATTCTGCACAGCAAAGAAGAGACCATATCGAGAAGATTGGGGGACCGCAGGAGCGCCCCAGAATTTGAGGGAGCCCACCAGGATCAGAGCTGCTGGTGAGTGCCACTGTTTGCATCCCCCCTACAACTGGATGGCGTGGGCAGGAGCCCTGGCCGAACTGCAAGGCCCAGCGCTGCATCCGCAGTCTCCCCTCCCGGAGCCAGCTCCAGTGGGAACAAGAAGGTTCCGTAGCAAGTGCCCACAGTTAGAGCCAGGGCCCAATAGGGCACCTGCACCAGGCCCCTGCTGTACTTGCCTGCTAGACAGCCCCAACTGGCGTAAAAGGGGGTTGGCGAGGGAGGCCCCACCCGGAGTAAGAGGGAACAGCCGAGGGCTGCAGTGCCCAGCAGCATTCAGGACAGCAGGGTGAGCTGCGCACATGGAAGGAAGCCCAGCTGGAGCAGGAGGGAGCCAGCAATGCTGTAGCGCGTGCTCAGGGCTCCCCAGCCCAGAATGGTGGCAGTCAAAACACAGGGCGTGCCTCATGCACACACCGGGCAGCCCCGTCTTGATCCGGAGTGGAATCAGCAAGGCTCTACAGCGGGCACACAGACCCAGGTCTGGCTGTGGACAGCCGGAGCACCAGGGAGCTCCTCCACGCGCCCGCACACCAGGCTGCCCTGTCCTGAACCCGCTCCTCCTGGCCTGGCGGCACCCCAGGCACTGTGCACGCCTGCTTCTACTCCAGCCAGCCTGCCAAAACCACCCAGTCTACACGGCGGCTACTCCCACTTTTTCAAGACTGGGCGAGATAGCTATTTCATCTCACTCGTAGGACCGAGAAAACCCAGAGAAGAATGAAATGGAGGTGAAATGGAGGTGAGTAATTTGCCTGATAAAGGTTTCAAAGGAACTCATAAGGGTGCTCAACAAACTTGAGAGTAGGATAGAGGAACTCAGAACATCAAAAAAAATGAAATATGATAAAGAACTAATCAGCGATGAAGAATACAATAACAAATGGAAAACACTGGAAGGAACTGACAGCACATTGGTTAATACAGAAGCATGGGTCAGCCACCTGGGTGGAGATAGAAGAGCAGAAATCACCCGAGCAGAACAGCAAAAAGGAAAAAATCTTTTTTTTAAAATGAGGATAGCCTGAGGGCCCTATGGGGCAACATCAAGTGCGCGAACATTCTCATTGTAGGAATCCAGGAGGAGACGAAATAATGGTTGAGACTTTCCTAATCTAGAGAAGGAAACTCGTCAAGGAAGCACAGTTCCAAACGAGGAACCCAAAGAGGCCCCCAGCAAGACATTGTAATTAAAATGGCAAAAATTAAAGACAAACAATCTTGAAGGCGTCAAGGGTGGAAACAGTGAGTGACATACGGCCATGAGCTGAGTTCTCAGCAACAGCTTTACAAGCCAGAGGCAGTGCTGAAAGGGACCGGGAACATTCTACCCGTACCTAGAATCGAAGGAGAGAGTTTCCCAGGCAAGCACACACTAAGGGAGTTCATCACTAAACTAGCTCTACAGGAAATGTTACAGGGTCTTTATGCAGAAAAGGCCATCCCAAA